TACGTTGTGGGCAAAACTTTCGCTCCAGCCGGGATTCGCTTGCTTTCCGGACAAATGTAGGTAGCACAATTGCCCGGAAAGCAAAAGATCTGAGTATGAATCCAGGGTGAGGCGAGAGTTTTGCCCAAAACGCAGCATTCTTGTGATAATTGAGCAGTTCTGACTCTTGCACCTTAGAGCTAAGCTAGCACTCCTCGAGCTGCAGGAAAAGGCTAGAGAGTTCACCAAAGCCTCAAGTATAAGGCTAAAAAGCATATATAGAGCCCTTAGAACCTTGAGTTTGTTCGAGGTCTGGACTGGACTCTAAGCTAAGAGAGCGCGAGCAAATGTGAAAGAGTTATTCTGCGTCCCATCTCTCTCTACAGTTAGGTTTTGGGATAAAAAATCAAAAATTCTATCAACGCTGAGATCACAAGAGTAGATTAGCAGTTCAAAGTGAGGTCAATGGAGTCCAGCAGATAGTTTGAAAGTGAGTCTTAGACGCCTAAACGCAATGGGTAAAGTCGCCAGATAAACAGGATTAGGTAGGCGATCTTGTTTGTGCGCGGAATTAGAGCTGTAGGCTTTGCTCTGTCGAAGCATAAGTGAAATACGATCGCGTCAGTGACACAATATTACGGTAAATAAGAGCTGTTGCGCCATCTCATCTCCAGCTAACCTTACTCGTAATAGCTCCATCTGGCGTTGGAGTCTATAAAGTTTGTTCAGGCTCCCTAGCCGAACTCACCACTTCTACTGATATTGCGATATTTTTTATTCATTGATTGGTTTTTGAAACGAATGATACAGTAGCGGTCAAAAGTGTTCGCCGAAACGGTTTTTCGTGCTTCTCTTTTTTTGCCAGAAAAAATCAATGGTGGCCTCGAAAAATTTTCTTTTGAATATCCTGATTCTTTAAGACTTGAGGATATAAAAACACTAGAAAACATAGTATATCAATCTTTGGAGGGCGTTGCTCAAGCGAGAAAAAATAATGCACTGAAAATCGTTTCGGCGAACACTTTTGACCGCTACTGTACTTCACGGAGACGATTGAAGGATCTTCGGTTATTCCACATAATAGCCACATAATAAAAAATCGAAACATTATAGACGTGGGTTCTTATTC